AAGAACCTTGCCGATCGGATTGTGGCACGTGGGACTGATATACCAGACATGAGAGCACTCATCACAAATCTGAAACAGCGTTCTGGTGTAAGAATATTTGAGGTCACAGAAGAGGAGATTCTCAAAAGCTCTGAATTGGTTCCTCCCTCACTCAAATCTGTGCCTGGCACAATGAGTGTGCACCAGGTAAATTCTCACTACACTGAAAGATTATCAAAATGTGTTGTTTTTTTGTTTGCTTTTTCAGTGTTTTTTTTTTTCGGTTCAAAGCTCATTGTCAAGGAAGCAGGCTGCATCAGGGTCAGAGACGTCTCCTGCTTCTGCAGAAATTGGTGTGACTGCTTCTCTCCAAGAGAATTTAGATTTTCCTGTTTGCCTGATAATGGAGCAGAAAAGGAGGAAGGAGACACAGATGGAAGCGCAATTGAAGTTGGGACATGGGTTCTGTTGAACTATGATGGAGACCTTTTTCCAGGCATTGTTACACAGGTATGCAAGTTAAATTGCAAAGCTCACATACAAGGTATAAAATTTACTTTCTGACCCACCTGCCAATGACAGGTAGGGTGAGGAATTTTATCGGCCTAAATATGTTTTTACCGGCCACTGAACTGCTTACAACACGTCATTAAAAAAAAGCAAATCCAGTGCACCCTCCTTAACTAAGCATGTACGGTTAGTTGAGTGCCTCCTACAGGCAGGTCATGGTGTTGGCATTGCTATTGTATAACAGCCAGTATCTCCTCACTCCCATATTGTTAAACTTTACGACTAAACAACTTATTTTCCTTTCGATTCTCTTTTCCCCCACATAACGTTACGCGCGCGCACACACACACACACACCAGCTTCACCAAGCTAAATGATGAGAAACAAATTAAAATCTTTGAAATGCTGTGCTTTACATATAGATTGTCGCTGAGCAGTACGAGGTGGACACGATGTACAGGGCAGGACCGAACCGGTTCTTCACCCCAACAGTAAAGATACCAGGGGACAAAGTGTGGTACTTCCCACAGGACATTAAGCAAGTCATCCCAGAGCCACTGCCTGCAACGTCTTCTGCTCGTCATTTTTGTGTCTTGCCTGAAATTTGGGCAAAATACTCAAAGGCCTGAATTACATGAAATGGCATTTCAATCAGTTTTAACTTTTTATCGTTCACTTGTTGTTAATAAGTTATGTCATGATGTCCCGATGACCTTTTTAAATGAAATCATTCCATCATCAATCATTACCGCAATATAAAATCTCATCTTCCGCAACAGATTTTTCATTACCGTTATGGATGAAAATTAGTTGATATTTTTTATATTTTTATTATTCAGAGAAATCACTTTGTTCATTTATCATAATATGTTCCCTAACTGTGCTCCACATGTGTTTTCTTTCTACCATTTCTTGTTAACAAAGAAAGTATTTAAAAAATTTGGCTCTAAAATACCTATAGTATATCGGTAATGAGAGTTACTTGTTTTTAAATGTGATTAAAAATATATAAAACAATACTATTGATGCACTGTGCTGTTCATTTATTGTGCTCATTTGTGTAAATGTGAAAAAATTGGGTAAAAATATATTTTTAATTAATGGTCTGCTTTCTCCACTCAGCATATCGGTAATGAGAATTATCCTGGATCATGCTGGTATGAAATTGGAATTAAATTTAATTTAATTGTTTTCCTATGTAACTTCTATCAAAAAATAAAACTTCACATTCTACTTCAGCCAGTAGAATAAAAAAATCTGCCAAATTAGGTTGATTATATTTTTATGTTACTGTGACACTGTTCGTGAGAATCACCCGCCAAAGCTTTTGACAGGGTCGAGTGGGAATATTTATGGGCTGTATTGCAAAAAATTCAATTAGGTGAAGCTTTTATCAAGATGGTACAGGTCCTGTATGCAAACCCCTCGGCCATGGTCATCACAAACGGACTGAATTCCGGACCCCTTCCCATTTCCCGTGGTACGAGACAAGGCTGCGGTCTCTCCCCGAGCTTGTTCATTCTGTCTCTCGAACCGTTTGCACAGCACCTAAGACAAAATTCAGTCATGTCCCCTATCCAAATCAGACAGACTTCTCATACCCTGTCGGCTTTTGCGGACGACATTCTCATATATATGACGGACGTAGAAAACTCCATCAACTCTTTATTAGCGGCTTTTGAGGATTTCAAAAAGCAGTCAGGATTTAAGATCAATTGGGCAAAGTCAGCTCTGATGTTGCTAAATGAAGCTGCCAAGAATGCCAAAATATCAAGCCAGATTCCCTTAGTAACCCAAATCACATACTTGGGCATACAGATAGAACCTTCGCTCCAGAAAATAGTGAAGAGCAACTATGAACATTTTCTTAAGGAAGTTGAACGTGA